CCGCTCGCAAGTGATTATTGACCCAAACCATAAATGATGACCAATATAACACATCAGATACATTTTAAAAGTAAAATTAGGCAAATGGTTTGAGAAAAATGAGTATACTAGAAGAGAGCTCATAATACTATAGACCTCTCGTGATTGTATAGGATTAGACCCTGTTTGGTGGGGATTAAAATCAATTTTTTAGCAGATTTTAATAGAAATTGATGAAATGTGTGGTTGAAAAATTTTGGAATCTATGAAATATGTGGATGAAATTAATCGTTGACTTTTACTTAAAATAGAATCTGAATTTTAATTCCTACCAAACAGAGACATAATCTTCATATTTCAGTTTATTTTATTGTAACTTTGTATAATTAAGGTGTAATAATTGAATAATTAAAGGGTAATTAGTAGAAAATGTCCATACCTTTTAATATTATTGTGCAAAATGTCTATACCCTTCTTTTTTTGTTGACATTTTCACCTTTATTTTCACATTTCATTGCGAAAATCATCATTTTCATTTATTTTCTCAATTAAAAATTGTGAAATGACGAATATACTCTCTTATTAAAATAAAACAAAAATAAAGAAATAAAAAATAAAGAACAAATTGCAATTATATTCTCAAGCGTTTCAAAAAAAATACAAAAAAATTCCAAAAAAATTATTAAAAAATAAAAATTAAACCACAAATCTTTACTTTTTCCTTTTACTTCTTTTTTTGATTCCCATCTTTCTCAATCCGCCACGATTCCCTCCCTTAACAACGGATATTTCCATCTTCAGATACTATTTCATATATTTTATAATACTTAAGAGTCCAATTATATGTTACTCATCGTACATCACAAAGACTAGAAGGCCACTGTTTATTTTCATTAATTTTTTCTATGATTAGTAACATGCCCATAAACCCATTTTGTAGAATTGCACAGCCATATGTCCCTTTGTAATTCCATTCCACTTCAGGATAAATCTTGGGTCTGAATTTAGTGTTCATTTCTTGGAAATTCCAGTTGGGTATCTTGAATTTTGAAGTTATTTTTCGAAATGGATTTTGAAGGAGGATTATGAAAGGGGGATAAAATGGCGAAAAGGCCCGCTTTTGGAAACATGGTCAGAATGAGGTTTTCAAATATTACTAAGGGGCCGTTCTCTTTGTTGTTTTTGAGCCGTTTTCTGTTTTCGATTTTTCAAAACGGTAAAAACGCGTTCTCTTTCTCATTTTCGAAAACAAAAAAAAATTTGTGAAGAAAACACAAAACGACCAAAATGCCGTTTTGAGCGTTTTCTTCACAAAATTGAAACCCAGTGGAAAACACGGGAAACAACCAAGCCAAAACGTCTTCCCGTCTTCTGCCCAGCCACTC